GCGACCGCCAAACTACATCTGAAAAGGCCGACCATGAAACTGCCAATCCCAAAGTTATCGCTCAACCCAAAACCTCTGCTCAAAACAAACCACCTCCTTCTGACCAATCTTCCTCCAAAAATCCTTCTACTGGATAGACCAAAATCGTGGTCGGATCCAGTGGCCAAGATGCCTCTGAGCGAGACGTAGCTCAGGGGAAACGTCCCCGCACCGAGCAATTGGAGGGACTTAGGAAACGCGTGCGCACCGGCCCATCTACTGACACCCTGGCCTCGAAGTCCTCCTCTCTGCTCACGGCTCCGGTGAATGAGGTAGTTGCTTGCCTCGAGGGTGCACTCCTCGAGGACGACCGCAAAAGCAATGACGTCACCCTACCAAAACTTGGTGACCAGCTTGTACAATGGTTTGCCTAGGTACTGCTCGTCTTACACTTGCTCACCCCCACTTTTTTTCACTAGGTTGAGCAGGTTGCGGGCATGACGAGGAGGGGACGAGTGGCCGGTCATATGTTACTGCTTAATATGCTTCTGCTTTTATGTGAACTCGTTACATGGTCTTATGAACCTTGTGTTGGTTTTGGACATGTTGAAAATGGTTTCAAACTGTGTTTTGAACATGCGACAAGCCTGACGCCGAAGTCGCGACCTGCGGACAGATACCCGCGACCGAATTGGCGACCTCCACGACCCGACCCCGACAGCTTCATACGTTCGTGATCCAATCCAGTTCGTATGATTGTACGGCCATCCGAAAAATCAACCAGATCGCCATAAATTTTCACCAACGGAATTAATAATTATCATCCATTTAAGCACATACACACACTATTATTCACTAATAATAATACCATATTTAAAATATACACTTTGCACCCAATTTCTTTTTGCCTAAGAAATTAAAACCTATTGCGGCATTTGCTAGTCTTCACGAAGTTTATATCATCCCGTCCAAACATTTGTAACCTGAATGAATCACATTTTTTGTTAGAGAGAGAAATAAACTGAAGGGTTTTAGATTTGTAGATAGATTATATTGGACGAGAAACAGTAAAGAGAGGAGAAGGTATGGCGAGAGATAGCTGTCTGGCTCGTATTACGGCGGGCTTCGCCGTTGGCGGTGCAGTCGGCGGCGCCGTAGGTATTGTTTCTCCGTTAACCTTAAACCCTAGCTCCGTTCGCCCTAAACCCCTTTCTGTTCACCCACAAAGAAAAGATTTTTACAGAAAAAAAGTTATGTCTTTAAACTACGCAACTTGGATGCATCAAATTTGGGTTTTTGTTTTGAATTATTTTGGAATTGCATCATTTATGTTAAAAGATTCTTTATTGAATTTGCTTATATAGTGATTGTTCATGGGATATAGGTATCTGCTGGTCTGCCTCTAAACTGGACATTTTTAAGAATTTCCCAGCTGAACAAAATAAAAGAAAAGCACTAGTTTCTGTCTTGTTTTAAAAGATGTGATCTTTTTTATTGATACGTTATGTGTGATGAAGTTAGCAGTACTTTTCGTTGGGGTTCGATGCTTTTTCGGGTGAATCTGCAAGTATATATGTCATGGATTGTTGTTAATTTATGCTTTCGTGTGCAGGTGCTGTTTATGGAACTTACGAGGCTGTAAGATACAAGGTAAAGTTTCTGCAGTGTCTTTCATATGATCGAAATCCTTGTTTATTTTAATCCGAATAAATCATTTTGATTTATGTTTCTAGGTGCTCGTTTCTGTCCTGATTCTTTGTTGCTTTATCTGTAGCTAAGTGCTGATGACACTACTTTGACATCTTTTCTTCTATAAAAAATTAGTATAAGTTAGGCTAACTCTTTTCCTTAGTGTGGTTCTCATGGATTATAGGTGTTGCAGGGTAACCTTTCATGATGGTTTCAGTAGTATCAGTGATTGCATGACTAGTGTCTTATTGAGGGATTGGGTTTAGCCTTTGACTTAACTCGTAAGTGGTCCTCATCAACAGTATCTAATTGTAGCACTTGAAGCAGGTTCTCCATTTGCAAAATACACAATGTGTTACAATTTTCACAGAGATTGTACTGGTAAAAGACTATCAAATTTTAGTGATCTTTCACGATTGAAATCTTAATAATGGTGTTTTTGACTAGATTTTACTGGTAAAAAACTATCAAAATTTAATGATCTTTCATGATTGGAATCTTAATAAGGTGTTTTTGACGTTATCTTTCATGATTGGTAATCACATATGACTTACTATCACACAGGCCCTCCATATTTGGGGGGAGTTTCGGATCGTCCACTCGATTTTCGTTCTTTTGAATTCTTTTGATCCGAGGGCTCCATTAGCACATGGATTCAGGCTGTATTTAGTATTGTCGGGAGTAGTTGTAGATAATAGACCATGCATGATAACAATATGTTAGTGAACAGAACTGAAAGAAGTTCTTAAAACTAAGATAAGAAAAGGTTTCAGTTAAATTTTGGACCTGGAGAACCACAAATCATCAGAGAGCTTCAGCTTCTGTTTAATAACTGATACAGTAACAATCTTTATTGTGTCAAAGGTTTATATTTATGGTTCTTGGTCACCATGTACATTGTGCTTCTAGATTGTATTAGATTGTGCTACTCATTTATATTTCTAGTATTTGCAACCTTGATTTTATCCAAGGTAATGTTATATGGAGCGTGTTCCTTCTTCTATTTAACATCAGATGCTTCTTACTGTGAAGATTTATTGATCTTCAAGAATGTGCAAATTGCTACATGGTCTTGTAAATTTGTTCTGGCATTCCGAGTTGAAAGATTTGTCTTGTGGTCAATGCAGGTTCCAGGCCTTCTAAAAGTGCGTTATATTGGCCAAACAACGCTAGGTAGTGCGGCTGTTTTTGGACTTTTCCTTGGAGCTGGAAGCTTGATACATTGCGGGAAATCTTACTAGTCTCTTTTGTGCATTGGGTGTTTGGCGAAAGTAGTTGAACTGAATCACATGATTAGATGTTATTTTATGTCGACTTTTTTTGCTTGGCTTTTTTATGCGTGGGTTTTAAATTTTTTTGCTTTTGTGAAGTTGCTCCCAGATGAAACACGGCTCTTTCGTCATTTAATAACATGTCTATTGTAATTCGTGTGATGGTCTATGATAACAGAAACTAGCCGGACTCATTTGTAACAGCTGTGGAAGAATTAATAAAAGTTGTTATTTGAGAAAATCTCGCGGCTTGCAAGCAGGGAATTTGTCTCCCCCGAAACGACGGGCATAGTTATTCAAGAAACAGGTAGCTATAAATATGAATTTTCAGACATTAACAGTATCATTCTGTGACCTGGATGCTTTTTTATCCGAACCTGGCGTTCAGTGAGCAATATAAGGACCTATGTGCTGGAGTGATTTTACCCGACATTTCTTGAGCAGCAAGGTTCTATAAGAGAGGCAATAAAAATGGAAAGACATGATATATTTTTCTAAGAATATGATGATGAAAATGAAAAACTTGGCATAGCCATTGATATGATAGCAAGTTGGTATTAATATCAGGCTAGAACTACTACAAGGTGAGGTTACAGCACACTGCAATTTATAGATACAGAAACTTTTTGATGCCGATGCCACAATCCATGTTACCATATGTTTGTTGTGCAATTAACTTGACCCTCAGATATCACATACTGTTGTCTTCCTTGAGAGTTAATTCAAATTGCTCGAGCTCCCATGAGAAAAAAGATGGCCTTGAATCCAAGCATATTGGTGAAGACGGAAGCGATTTCCAATGAGCCTCGAACCAATCAGAAAAGTCCATCATGGATAGCTCCTCCAATTCAGGGTGATAGCACATATTATCTGTATAAGCCTCACTCTGAAAAAACATAAACACAAAAAGGAAAAATAGATAGAAGCTGAATTAGACATCAAGATCCAACCTAGTCCTTTTTCCTATACATGCTACATGCAGTAAATGTTTAACGGACACATTCACGCACCTTTTCTTGTTGTATTATCAACTCTGCAGAATCTGCACAGAGAAAGCAGATTGTTATGTGCAATAGATAGCTCATGTACGAAAATGGATGGTTTTTGGTGGTATTTGCTTGCAAACACAAGAAACATCATAAGAGGGAGCATATCGTGAAACAGTCCCTCTCCAAAGAGTTTTTGATTTACAACAGAAAACACCTGGAAAAACAATATCCCATAGTTTGTGGGCATACTTCTGATGACCAAATTCGGTTGCAAATAATTCCTCCGATGGAAGCAATACATACAAATGCGGATGATCATACTATACTGATGACCGTTGCATTCATGACAGTCAACTAAATGATTGTACACGTGCAGTACGACAAAGAAACACAACATCTGTTCCTTTTCTTTCCGTAAACATACTGTTTGTTCCTCATGTCTAACAAAATATTACTCGTAACTTAATCAAGAATCAACTCTATTAGATTTGCAGTATCTGGCCTGGCCGTGCAAAGAAATGAAGTGAATTACTGAATTACAATGTGAGGCGAACAAGATATACAGATTTGAAGAAATTTACCATGTCCAGGAAGAACCGTGTCCCAGAAATTAAGGTCCTGCCCGTTCTTTTGTGCTTCAATGCATTTATTGTGGTCATGCAAGAAACCCTCTTCAGCAACATTAAGTTTCTCACTGACAGAAATCTTTTTCTTAGACAATTTATCAGCTCCAGTAACATGTTGGTTCAAAGATCTGTCTTCCACAGTATTCGGCTTTATATTTTGCGTGCTATTCTTTAGAGAGGATGCTTCAACTTTAACGCACGACTTGTTTGTGATGTCATTCAGAGCTTTACGGCTTTTAAGTGCAACTCCACCCTTATCAGCAGCAGCCTTGGAAGTCTTTGATTTACCATCAACTGCACCCTCTGCAACATAAAGAAACAAAAGCAACTTAAAAATAGTATAAGCATTTCATTTCTGAGGAGTTCCATAAGCTTAAATTTATATATCCTGCCAACTCGAAATCGAGTACAGGAAAGAACCGAAACAGGTTAGTTATCTTGCCAAGGAAAAGAATTGCATGACAAATAAGTAACATCTACAGTTTCCAAACAACCCATTTTGCTGGAAGAACAAATACTAAGAAGAAAAAAGGCGTCGAAATGGAGAAGCTGTTTATTACTTTTACGATGGACGGCAGAATTCTCATTCTGGATGGTAAGCGGCTTAAAAGTGAGAGGTCTTTCCATATTTCTTCAACACCAGCAAACTGCAAAAATGAAACCTCGTTACAGAGCTCTGACCCTTACATGGTTTGCACAATAATTGGAAACAGTGTCGACAGATAACGAACCATACTTCAATATGATAATCTTGAGGGACTCATATCAAGCTAAAACCTATGAGATGACGAAAAATTGGGGAAAATAAACACAGCATGCCAATAAAAATTCTGTCTGGAACAGAACCCTAATTCTTCATCCTCGTTATTAAAATAAATAAATAAATAAATAAATTCTCCTTTTTTTCCGCATCTCCCTGTCAACCCATGATGGAATCAGATTTATTGGTACAAAAAAGAAGTCAATTTCCTACTAAAGCTTCAGTAAATAATTACAAATAATTAAAACGAGAAAACAAATACAGAAGGCGTAAATCTTCAAGACTTCAACAATGGTGGAACAGATACACACAAAATAAATAATCAAATCAGATTTACAAAAAAAAAAAAAAAAAAA